TATTGTTCGATCGATCCTGACGATAAATTTTGAAGTCATGTAGTGATACAAGGCAGTCATCCTGTAAATCATTCAACCAAGATTCTTGAATTGTGATGACACCACAATTACGATACGTATTTTGACTAAGCAGGAATTGCAGATAGTCCACTTTGTTGATTAGTGATCGGCAGTTAGAATTAAGAAGCTCGGGAATCGACATACGATTAATGTTCATTCTCTTTAACGCATATTGCCAACCACCACGATGCCTTTTATAGTACTTTTTCTTAACTTGTGCAGCGAAAGGCAGGGTTCAGAATCGAATGATTTGAATACTTTTGAAAATGTATGATCTGTGAGGTTTATTGGATCTTCTATGATATCATTCATGTAAATAAACTCACTATAATTTAAAAAAAGTTTATTAAACCTCTTTTTAGATTGAATATAATCCATGAATATCAGATGGTTTTCGTGGATATTATAATAATTTAAGTGGTTAAGATCATGAGTCAGTTGAAGCTAGACCACCATTGAAAACCTGGAGGCACTGGACGGCCGTTTCGTTCTATTGTGGGACTCCTCAGCAGTGCGCATCCACGAATCCCGCTCGCGGGATCCAGTAGGTTAAGCGTTCACACGCGAGACTGAAGGCCCTGGGTTAGAATCCCGCGGTCGTGATCGTGGATACGCACTACTGAGGAGTCCCACAATAGGGCGAAACGGCCGTTCAGTGCTTCCGGGTTTTCAACAGTGGTCTAACATCAATCGGTTCATGATCTCAATCAAAATTATATGATTGACTTGATTATTACTATTCTATATCATAGTTTTAATTGTACATTTATACTTTCATTGAATAAATAGGTGGAATATCCAGATTACTTTGCATATGATGCTTGTGAAGAAGTTTTATTATTCCCATCAGAAGAATCACATGACGGTGTTAAGTAGGCTGAAGTTGTTTTTTCTTCTTCATTCATTCATTGCATGTTTTAATGATTATCTAAGTGTACTGTATTTCATTGCATTTTCTATTGTATAATTAGTTACTAACCTGCTGGGTTTTTCTTTTTATAATTTTACAATACATGGAGCATGATGATGTGTTTTCTTTTAGCATGTAATACTTTCATTACTTATCTATCATAATAGCAACATCCTTATATCGTATGTAACTGAATTATATTATTGATTGAGATCATGAATGAATTAATATTTTAGGTCCTGGGTTCGAATCTCGCGAGGAGGGGGATAGGTCGTAGGTGTGCACTGCTGAGGAGTCCCATACTAGGATGAAACTGCCATCTAGTGCTTCCAGGTTTTCCATGATGATCTAATTTCATGGTCTCAACAAACGAAATTACTAAAATCTCCACAAAACCCCTTCTTCTTTTCATTTCAATCTTCTCAATCTCAAATCTTTATTTAAACACATAAATAGTTGTACAAGAAGGTACCAAATATATATATGTGATACATTTCGTCACTTGATTTGTGTCTAAGAGCTAAGATACAGTCTGGATGTAATAACCGGAGATGATTTTTTCAGGAGGCCACTTCTTGAGCCTTTGACCTAGAGGTCTAATTCATAAGGCAGTGGAGAGCTGAAGTCCCATGATAGCCGATAGCCAACAATAGGTTTATGAGACATGTGTTCCCTCAAGATCTTGGAGAACATGTACACTATTGATTTGGAATCAGAGTTTCTTAACTTCTCTTAGGTGAATCCATCTTATCTACCATGTTGTTCAACTCGATGATTTTGTAATGGAGTAACTAAACATAGCTTAACGGTAATAAAGAAAGATGTGGGTTGAAATCAGTCAAAGCGAACCGAAATTATGAATTGAGGAGAAATGATAATGATGTAATCAAAACTTGAGAAAGATTTGAAATAATGAATGATATAATAGGTAAAATGTAGGTTTAATCTTACTAGAGTAAACAAAGACAGATTACTGGTTCTTTTAGGACACATAGATCTGATTCTAGACCTTTGATCGCTATAGCTGCGTATAAAAATTCACATATATCTGCCATAGTAGTTATATAAGTAGATTTGAAAGAAGTGCCTACGTTCGATTCAAAGAACATAAGCTTAATTGGATTAAAAGCAATCAGCATTGTCATTTTGAGACATCTCCTTGATACAGAACATCAAATGAATACATTGAAGTCCTTCAAGATAATGAATAAACAATCAAATTCCAATCTTTTGAAATCCTTCAAAGCTATAGCGATCAAACGTCAAAAATCATATCTATGTATCTAAAATGAGGTAGTAATAAGTCATTCTTTATCCTGGTAACATTACATCCCTTTTATTACATCATTCATTGTTTCAAATTTTCCTCAAGTTCTGGATACATGACCGCCATTTTTCTTCAAATCATAATTTTGGTTCGGTTTGATGAAGTTCAACTCTTACTTACTTGCTTACGCCTGTTACTCCTTGTGGAGGAGCGTAGGTCGCTCACCAGCACTCTTCATCCAACCCTGTCCTGAGCGATCCTTTCCAGCTCTTTCCAATTGTTATTCACCCTTTTCATATCTGCTTCTATTTCCCGATGTACTGTATTCTTTGGTCTTCCTCTTTTCCGTTTCCCTTAAGGATTCCAAATTAGGGCTTGCCTCGTGATGCAGATCGATGATTTGCGTAATGTATGTTCTATCCATTCCCATTATCTTTTCCTAATTTCTTCTTCAGCTGGAAGCTGGTTTGTTCTGTTCCACAGTAGATTGTTGCTGATGGTAGCCGGCCAACGGATATTGAGTATCTTGAGAAGACAACTAACCAGACGCTAACCAGAGTTCAACTCACATCTTACTTTATTATCATTAATCTGTTTTCAGTTACTTCATTACACAATTATAGGTTGTAAGCAACTGACTGAGATCAAACAAAATAGAATGAATTCATATTAGTTCACATGGATCTTTGTATCGTTTTGTATCAGTTCAAAGTCTTACATTACACAAAATTTAAAAGCATATTGTCCTTCCTTTTATTGAGATGATGTGATTCATAGAATCAAGGAAGTAAGAAATGAAATAAACACCCATCAATATTGTTTAATGAAAGTAATACTGTAGTACATGCTACTTATATTGATAGATGTAAGTAGTATGTAATGTCAATCAGAAGTAGAATGTTGATGAAAAGAATATTGAGATGAAGGAATTGAAGGGAACAGAAAGGGACTGGAATCAAAACAGAATTGAAAGGATCATAAGGGATGTAGAGGACAACTGCAAGATGTGCAAAGGATGTATTTGATGTATGAATTCACACTTTGCTAAACTATTGTACGATTATGAATGAAACACCCACCTAAGTCTTCGTTCACTGTAATACTGTTTATCAAATTTACATAGTAAAAAAAAACAAATTTCGATTCAGTACCTAGATCATATTGTATCAGTTTGAAGACATTGATTACTTTTGCTTCATTACGCCTGTTACTCCCAATCGAGAATAGGCCATCGGTCAGCATACTCTAACCCAATCTGTCCTGGGCCTTCCCTCATAGCTGTATCTTATTGTTGTTCATTATTATCTGGTCTGTCTCCATTTCTCGGCGTAATATGTTCTTTGCTCTCCCTCTCCTCCTTTGGCTTTGAGGGTTCCAAGTGAGGACTTGCCTTGTGATGTAGTTGGGTGCTTGCCTCAATGTGTGTTCTATCGACTTCCATCACTTCTTCCTGATTTCTTCCTCTGCTGGGATCTGGTTTGTCCTCTTCCACAGTAGATTTTTTGCTGATAGTGTTTGACCAACGGATCCGAAGTATTTTGCATAGGCAACTGTTAATAAACACTTGTATCTCATGGATAATGGCTTTTGTAGTTCTCCAAGTTTCCGCCTTCCATACAGTAGAACTGTCTTGAAATTTGTATTGAAAATTGATTCATTACAGTCTTAGATTATAAGTAGACTTAAACCAAGATGATCAAAACTTCTATTACTTTTAAATTTTGAATAATTCCAAGAGTTTAATTGGATACTATCAGTATTCTTAGATCATGCAAAATATTAGCCTTGAGATATCCAACGTCAATAAGTTTACTTTCCAATGTTCATGATCATGAGTCAGTTGAAGCTAGACCACCACGGAAAACCTGGAAGCACTGAACAGCCGTTTCGTCCCATTGTGGGACTCCTCAGCAGTGCGCACCCACGACCTCGCACCCTGAGAGATCCGAACCCAGGACCTACTGATTTCGCGCGCGAGCACTTAACGACTAGGCCACTGAGCCGGCATCCGACGGTGTTAATGTCTAACTTCAACTAATCCACGAAATTGAGCGACATATCCACAATTGTCTTCATTGAGTTACTATCTCACAACAGACCTGGTTGAACTCCACTGGTCACTACTTCTCACTAGAACTCCAAGATATACCTCGTGAAGCCGGTCAGTAGTGAGCATATGTTGATTAATATCAGATGGGTTTTGTGGATATTATTAGTAATTTCAATGGTTAAGATCATGAGTCAGTTGAAGCTAGACCATCACGGAAAACCTGGAAGCACTGAACAGCCGTTTCGTCCTATTGTGGGACTCCTCAGCAGTGCGCATTCACGACTTTTGTTAAATGCATGATATCTATTATTCATTGTATATACATACAATTCATTCATAGACTAACACAATCATCATTCATGAAGTTGTATATTATGATTGTATTACTAACGCATCAAGTATAATATGAGTATACTGTTATGCTTTATGTCTTGTATAATTAGTCATATACGATTGCCCATAACTGCATGATGAATCGTCTCTGTAATTAAAGATTAAACACCTCTATTTAAAAAAAAACAGATAGATCTGTGTCTAAAGACAACTTATTACTTTTCTTCTCTTCATCAATCAAACCGATGATCTCGTCAAACCACATATGAATTCTTCAATGGATTCCTTATCGAACTCTTGAAATGATTTGAATACACTATACTTAAACATGTATCATTAATGTTATACATTATAATTCATGATAACATTATTATGATTAGTTTTACCCATGGAAACATCGTATTTACTTTTCAACATAGTGAAAATCTACGTACAATCAATTTTAATCAATATGATTCTAAAGCTAAATTACGTAGACAAAGTTTACTTGGCCGTTATCGTTTAGATTCAACAACAGGTGCACCATTAAATCCAATGGGTAGAACAGGTTTATTAGGTAAAGGATTATTACCACGTTGGGGTCCAAATCATTCATTTGTATTATGTATTACAAGATGGACAAGAGATACACGTACTGGTGTACAAGTAATAAGAAGTAATCGTGGTGTATTACAATATTTGGCATTAGAACGTAATAAGAGATTATGTATGCCATGGGTAAGTTAAATGTATTCATTTAATATCACTATTCAAGGTATACAGATAAAATGATTTAGTTTTTGGGTGTCTGAAGTGTTTGTAAGCTTGTTAGTAATGTCTCTGACTGTGAAGCTGGGTGACACGGAATCGAATCTGTCAGGGAGTATCAATTCCCTCAAAATTACCGGTAGCATGAAACCTACGCCTACGGTTTCCTGTGGACTACCTTCAACCACCATCTTACGCAATGACGAGTCATCTAGACTAATGGCTACATTACAGGATTCGATTTGTACTAAGAAAAACAATGACATACATGACATTGATTACCATCCAGTGATCAATCAGCTGACGAGTGCCAAATAAAACAACGTGACGCGTGTCCTGGATTACACTGCTAGCTACTTATAAATAGTATTATCATAAACTCTCCTAAATAGAAGTGATCTCATTCTAGAATTATTAGAACATACCATCTAAATACTTTTAATAAATTCATACATCATAGGGATTTGAGTCTATTTCAAAGTTTCAAGAAACATTAACTAAATTGTAAGGGATTACTATAGACTGTATGAATGTTCCAGAAGATATAAGTCGTATACTAACCTTGATATCAATCTCAAAATAGACAGTTGTCAACGATTTACACACCACAGATTAAACGCACAATTATTTTTCATTATTAACACCAATACAACAAATCTTTCAATGCGGGATTAAAACCCAGGACATTCAGTCTCGTATGCGAACGCTTAACTTCCAAACCACTGAGTCGGCCGGCATCCAACCGGTGTTAATGTCTAACTTCAACCGAATCGCGTGACCATCTTCCACTATATTGAGGTAGATACCTGTCTCTACCCGATACGGATTAGCTCCATTGGTCATGGCTTCTCATTAGAACTTCAAGAATCCCCTCACAAAGCTAGTCACTAGTAAGCACATGGAAAATATCAGTATGGGATTGCGGAGATTATTAAGTTTTTAGATTGAGATCATGAATCGATTGATGTTAGATCAACACCAGGTTTACAACGGTGGAAACATAGTTCTGTTTTCATTGGTATCAATTATTATACAGAGAGATGTTATAACAGTATGACTAATCATCATTCGATGTTGTTGATCATTTCTTTTCTTCTTATTATTATTATTTCAGTATTTAACAGATCATACAAACAAATGTGATTTTGATGAATGTGTACCAAAGATTATAAGCAGTTTAGTGACTCGTCGAGGACGTGCTATACTTCCAGAGAAAAGAGTTGAAAGATTATTGAAACGTATTGAAAAGGCTGAAGTTACACAGGTAATGAATAGAATATTTTCTTTTCTTTATAATATGGTGTCGTTCAACTACAATACATATGTAAATAATGTATTTCGTGCATTTTACTAACCAAACTCTCTTGGATTGTGAAATCCTCATGATTGTCAGGGTAGTTTTGTTGTAGTGATCTCAGTCTTAATATCATTGAAAACCTAGAAGTACTGAATAGAATGCTCATCTTGATATAGGACAAGTCAACAATGATCATCTATGACCTCGCACATAGGAATCAAGCATAGGACTTTCGGTCTTGCGCGCAAACTAATCTCCAGTTCACTAAGCCAGAACATAACGGTGTTATTATCTAACATTAATTTGCTGAGTTGAATTCGTAGTAGAGCTCACCACTTTTAATGATCCTATATCTGACCACAATTGGATCGCTTCTGATTGCCATTGAGATATATATGTCACTAATCCTCGTATGTACCTAAATAAATGGTTGCTCTGGTTGTCAGAAGGGGCATCGGCCTCGTGAATTCCGAAGGAACTCGGCTTTCATCATGAGGCGTCATAGTTCTTCTAAATGAAGACCTTCTGACTCCCACGGCAGAGTTTAAAAGTTTTGAATAATTTTTTCTGGTTAGCGTCTTTTTAGTGAGTTAGTTTTCTACAGGATGGGGTCGCTAACCCCATGCCCAACCCTCTTCCTTTATCCGGGCTTGCGACCGGCAGTGGCCTCCGGAGGGACTCCAGGCGGATAGGACACACATTGAGGAAAGCACCCAACTGTGTCACAAGACAAGCCCTCACATGGAATCCTTAAGGTCAAAGAAAAAGAGGAAGACCAAAGTAGAATACAATACGCCAAGAAATGGAGATAGACACGAGAAAAATGGACATGAATTAGATAGAATTAGAAAAGAAGGCCTAGGACAGAATTGATTGGAGAATGCTGGTCGGCGGCCTATGCTCCATTAGGAGTAACAGGCGTAAGTAAGTAAGTAAGTAAGTAAGTAATCCTCGTATGTAATCATCAACTTAACTGGTGTTAATGAATAACGGAATTAAAATAAGCCAAATACGAGAATGGATTTTTAAATGCGTATATTTTGTACACTCGTTGATAGGAACAGACTGTCAGAGAGACATAGCGAAGGAAGCGAAGAAATGAGAGCGAAGCGAAACGAAATAACGCGCAGTGGTGAATGCGCGTAAGCCAACTCAATTTAATCAAGCGTGAATCAGACGAAAATAAGTTACAGACATGTGATGAATAAGATAAGACATGTACACACATACGCTCATATAAAAACAGTCAATGTTGATAAAGGAATAGTTAACAAGGTCAAAACGTAACTCAAGAAGGATAGATAAATGGACTTATCCAGAAGATAGAATAAGTTATATGAGTTTAACATGGTAAATACCGCTACAAATTCGCGATATTGTATGATTGCCATCGATTGCTTACTCGGCATAACTGTCTCACCTTAGACATGGAGGTTTAGCTAAGATTAGTCCATGATTTCAACTACAAAAATTCTACAATCTTAATCAGTCAGTCTGGCAATCAAACATGCTCAGGTCGGTACGTATATGAAGATGAAGTAAATTGAATTATAGTATTGTCCAATTCTGATGATTAACAAACACTATATGTGGTGATTAGAATAAGAATAGGATCGTAATAGAAGTTACTATCTGCATATCGAATTTGAAATTTGATCGTTCAAAATAAACATGAAACTGTTTCTATATGTTCAAATTCAACTGACTAAGATATTGTCAATCGACCGTTACATTTCACATTATGGTTTGCCTGAGAAGATCGTCAAAATCATCCGGAATTCATACGACGGACTACACTACAAATTCATGCATGGCGGACAACTGACAGATACATTCCAAATGAGGACCGGATTCGGTCAAGGCTGCTTACACTTTCTCTTCCTCTTTCTTCTAGTGGTTGATTGGATTATGATGACTTTGATATTTGGGGAGAAGCACGAAATACAATAGACAAATCGTAATCAATTAGAAGACCTGGACTTCACAGATGACCTAGCTGTTTTATTCCATACACACAAACAAATCCAGGTAGAGACATCCGGTTCAGAAGCAGCTTCAGTCTACAGCAGTAAGCCTCAACATACACAAAGGAAACAGCAAGGTCCTCCAATACAACACGGAGAACACCAACACAATCACACTGGATAAAAAAACTCTGGAAGAAGTGAAAAGTTTCACGAATCTAGGAAGCATCATTGATGAACAAGGAGGATCCAATGCAGACGCGAAGGCGAGGATTGGCAAAGTATGGGCCTCAAGTGAAGAATATATGAAACTCAAAACAGCTGCAGACCAAAATCAAAGTCACAATCTTCAATACAAACGTCAAGACATTTAATTCTATTGTACGGAACTGAAACGTGGAGAACTACTACAACCACCACCAAGAAGGTACAAGTATTTATAAATAATTGTCTACGTAAGATACTCAATGTCTGTTGACCGGCTACCATCAGCAAAAATCTACTGTGGGAGAGGATAAAGCAGCTTCAAGTTGAGAAGGAAATTAGGAAAGATATTGGAAGTGGATAGGACATATATTACGAAAATCATCAAACTGCATCATGAAACAAGCCCTAATATGGAATCCTGAGCGAAAGTGGAAAAGTGGAAGACCAAAGAACACACTCCGCCGAGAATCGGAAGCAGGTATGAAAAGGATGAATAACAACTAGAAATAACTGGGAGGGATTGCCCATGACAGGTTTGGATGTAAAATGCTGGTGAGTGGCCTATACTCCTCGATGAGGGGTAACAGGCGTAAGTAATTTTGTAAGTAAGTACTGACTCTTGTTAGAGTGGTAGAAAACCTGCAGTGTATGCTACTTATGCTTACAGGTATAAGTAGTATGTAGCACCAGTCGAAAGTGAAATGCCTATCAAAAGAAGATAGAGATGATTGTAATGAATAGAACAAGAAGAAAATTGAAGAGCAATCGAAATAACAACAGGATGATGAATTATGTAAAGGACAACTCAATGAGTTTCCAACCCCCCTCCATGTCTTCCTTCACTACAAACGTTTTTGTAATACACAACTACCGATCACATAAGTTTGGTTAATAAGTTTAATTCCTCCAGAAGGTAAATATCTCTTATAATCAATGGAGAGTGTATTAACAAGCTTCATCTTAATAGTCTTATTCTATAAACTCAATAACTATTACGTAATAATAATATGACTAGTGTTGTGGATGGTTGGAAGAAAGTTAGGGATGGCCAAATCAAAACATGGCATCAGTCTTTGAAGTCACAAATTTCTGGTCTTAGCTATGTTGGCAGATGCAGACTACTTGGTTTCGGTCTACCCGACTATCGTAACCGATGGTTGGAGACTCTGGGTAACATAGTTCAGAATTGATCACAATGGTGTGGGTGTATACACTATTTGTTTTCGTTTAAACCATGAGATTAAAATTACTTTATACTTTTTCTTCTACGAACTAATTCTTTCATCTTGTATTATATCCTTATATGCAAAATCTTTCTTTTATATATTACCACCATTGAATTAACTACTTCTATGAATCCGGTGTTCATCTTGTTGTGCTAATGCGGTATGGCAACTTGGACCGATGCATGTATGTGCCTGATCCGAAACTGAAACCGCTGAAAACACAAATAACATCAGTCGAAAAGAAAACATTATACATGAACAGTGATGTTAAGAGTGACAGAGCCACATACGCCTTAAACAGTAGAATTTCTGATTCTTTAAAATGACCGTTCTTAACAGCAACATTGCGAATAGTATTCTTCAGTTGATCATTGTTCATCAATAATCTTAAGGATAAATTACGTCATGTGACCAACTCAATGTGCATTTATCAATGTACCTTCTCATATATAGCCAGGTATATAGGTCGTTCGATGCATAATTTATCCAAAAGCATTCTAGAATATTAACCGGAGTGACTAAGAAGAGGAGGAAACGGTTCAATAAGAAGTTCAATAATCGAACACCTTATGAACACAGATCATTCAATCAAGACAAACTCTGCGTTCAAATTCATCTACAAGGTAAGTAGAAGTCTTCCAAAGACGATTCTACTGCATCTTCTTAGCATTACCAAAGCAATAGTCATATATCTGGGAAAATCAGAACTGTATGTTCAATAGAGATTGGTACAAACTCTTCTTTTACCATGGTCTTAATATGTTATAATTTTTCTTTTTTCTTCATACTCTTCTTCTTTTATAGCCATCTGCTTCCCCTTTCATCTTCTCCTTAAACATGCTACCCCCAAATGGTTTATTTCTGTTTCTATGATCCCACCTTGATTACATCTTATCACGCTAAGCCATCCTTTCCCAATCAACTATATTGGAAATACATTTTAAATAGTCTCCTATATGTCTGTTAAGTG